ACGGCACGACAGCCTCGGCAGCGAGTCTGTTGGCTCCCACTATGGTCGCTAGTGTGTTCGGGTCGAAAATCATTTTCATTATTGTGGGACTCATTACAACTTTAGTCATTACAATGATTCAAAAGGAAGGACTTTTTATAAGACTCCTTACACAATGCAAATAAAAAGATTATAATTTTCTTGAGAACATATGCAAATAGATCGTTTATCGGTCTTTTGCTTGTGCGGGATCGTTGCCTGTACCGGGGTTTATTCGTGGACCACCAACTGATCAGATCCGAATAACAATTTCATTGCCTCGCAAAGGAGACAAGAAATTGAAGTGACTATCTCAACAACAATGAGATAATCACTCTTCTTGAGAATCGTAGCTAGGTACAATCTTAAGGAAAACGAATGAACGAGATGCAGATCTCTCGAACTCTTCTCCTCCTTGTGCTGAAGAACTCGCCAAGATCCCTTTCTCCTTTCTAAAATTCATGCTCCTCACTCTTCAATTTGATAGGGCTTTGCCAAGGCTCGAGAATTCTGGATCCGTGTAAATGAAGGCCCTAGGGCCATATTTACAGGCTTCGAAAGCTTTGTTTTCGGATAAGAACGATTAATTTGATCTCATTCTCAGTTGTAATCACTTAACCAAGTTACAAGATAACTTCAGATCAATTGGGGAGGCTTTGGATCAGAATATACTCAAATCTAGGTGTTAACGAGCATAATCAGTATTTTTAGGCGCGAGATAGACTTTTGTCTTGTCCTTGGCGGAGACACGAAGTGTGTCCTGGTTGCGCGCCTCGACCTATTTTTCACGTAATTCCTCGGTCCGAACTCAAAATGACACGATTCAAAGTGCGTTGGAAAGCCAGAGAGGAGATCTACAATCTCCTATGTATGAATCATGTGTGAAGTGGATGAGACATGAGTGGTTCTTCATCTTTTGTGAGTGAACTGTAACTCCTGATCGGATCGTCACTTCGTTATTTCATCGTCCCGTTGATTCGTATGCTTTGCCGACTTACTTCATGCACTCATCAACATCAAATAATACCCTTTGACTCAGATAATGATGCTCATCATCTTCTATCTCGAGCTACATGTGGGAACCTATAGGCAATTTTTGTCTTTTTGCTTGGATTTTCTTGGTTTTTGGGCTCTGTTTTGTGAACCTATAAATATCCCTTCAATCTCAACATTTTAGGGTATCTAAGAAGTGTTTAAATCAAGATTACAAGTGCTTAAAAAGGGTGTTTAAGTGTGGTTTTCAATTTTATTTATGTGAAGAGGTATTCACAAGAGGAGGAGATCATTTCTATCGTGTTTGGGCTTCAATCTCAATCTCTCTCACTCTTGATTTTCAGAGAAGTTCTGCTAAGCTCTTTTTCTAGATTCATATATATTTGTTGTTGATTATTATTTCATTAAGCTAGATTTTAAATTGAGTTTAGTTTTATCATTGCTCTTTGATCATACACACCACTTATTGAGCTTTTAGCATTTCATACATTATATAATTGGGTTATGGTGAGTGATTCATTGAGAGTGAGCGTAATTGAGTTCTCATCTTGTTAGAGAATAAAAACTTTGTATTTGTGCTTAAATTGTGAGATCACGTTGTAATTCACACAGACACTTAGAGAAGTGGTTGGTGAGAGACGGGGTTAATTCCAAGAGGATGGCGTCGGTTGTAAATCCTAGGGAGAGGTTGTAATTCCGAGCACTTGAGGAATATGACATGGGCTAGGCCAACACTTAGAGAAGTGTATTGTGTATTGACTATTGGTTGAGTTGTAAACATTTATCGGTGAGCGTTGAAAATCGATTATGTAGCTTTTTGTGTTGATAGTGGAGATTCTCCTCGAGGGTGAGGAGCGAAGACATAGGTCGGGGGTGACCGAACTCCGTGATCATTTGTTTGTGTTTGTGTTTGGCATTAGCGTACTTATTCTCTTGTATATTTTCTTATCGTCTTTGTCTCATGTTTATATCGCCCTTAGTTTAATTGTATATCCTTGCATATCTCATTTTATACCATATTGTTAGGATATATTAGTTAAAAGTTTTAATTTGGCATCAATATCGGATTAGATTAGCAATTACCCTATTCACCCCCCTAGGGCAATTTCAAATCTGAAGATAATGGATCTCCACACAAAATTTGTGATATTGCTCTCAGCAATTTTGGCAAATGGTTCAGCTTTGATCCATTTGGTGAAGTAATCAATGGAAACAATCAAGAATTTTTATTGCCCATAGGCTATTGGGAGAGGCTCCAACAAGTCTAATCCCCATTGAGTGAATGGAATCGGGTTCAGAAGAGGGGTGTAGGTTATTTAAAAATCACTGCAGATAGCTGATCCCCCATCAAACACCAATGATGGAAGTTATAATCTAACGACTTCCAGAAGGCTATAATTTAAAAACTTTCACGTAGATCGATAAAAGTTACAATCTGACAACCTTCGCAACAACTGATAAAATCTCTAATTAACAGCCTTCACAATCAATATCGGGAGTTACAATCTGACGACTCTCATATTTTCAAGGAGCCAAGACGAAGATTACAAGATGACGGTCTTTGTAATGCTCTAGCAAAAGAGACTACAAATTGACGGTCTCTTCAAATCAAAACAAAGGGTTCATCCCCAACGTTCAAGTCCAAACGCACGAGTCAAACCTGTGTTGCAACATCAACACGCACGGGTCAGACCTGCGTTGCAACATCCAAACACAGAGGTCCTCCATGCGTTACAACATCCAAACGCAGACTTCATTGCTGCGTTTTTAGCCCAAAACGTAGAACCCAACTCTGCGTTCTAGATCCAAACACAGAGTTCATTGCTGTGTCTCAGACTCAAAATACAAAGCGACCAGTGCGTTCTCAACCATCAAATTAGGCCCAACTCTGCGTTTCAAGTCTAAAATGTAGAGTTGGGGCCCAGAACGCTATTCTCTATGTTTAACTCATTCAAACGGTTCCAAAAACCATTTCCCACGATCTGAGGGGATCACAATTCCACCTAGGAGAGATTTTAGGAGGCGGTTACACCCCTTAAACCCTTGAACGGTTTCAAAACCATTTTCCACAAAATGGGGTCGGTTACACACTATTAAGAAGAGATTTTAGGGGGCGGTTACACC